GACGACTGTCTCTTGGTCCAAGTATAGGCTTCTCATTAGCACCATCAAGTGTTCCGGGATTCCCATTCTTCTCAGAGTCAGCTGCAGTTTGTTACGATCCACACAAACACCTTTGCATAGTCAATGAAACACAGATATACATTCCTCTGGTATTCTCTGCTTTCAGCTAAGATCCATCTAACATTAGATATAATATCTCTAGTACCATGACCCCTTCTAAACCCAGCCTGGACTGCTGGCAGTTCTCTGCTGATGTGTTGTTCCAGTCGTTTTTGGATAATCTTCAGTAGAATCTTGCTTGCATGAGAAATTAATGTGATTGTTCTATAGTTTCTACACTCTGTTGGGTCACCCTTCTTTGGGATGGGAACAAATATAAATCTCTTCCAGTCAGTTGGTCAGGTGGTTGGTCTCCAGATTTGTTGGCACTACTCGGTGAGCACATCCAGGGCAACATCTGTTAGCTGAAATATGTCAATTGGTGTACCGTCTATTCCTGGGGCCTTCGTTTTTGCTATTTCCTTCAAAGTAGCCTGAACTTCTTCCTTCATCACCATAGGCTTTTGCTCATATGTTGTTTCATTAAATTCTTCTATGTTTGCCAATTCTTTTTGATACAGTGACTCAGTATATTCTTTCCATCTTCAAAGGCATCAAAAACATGGGAAGTCGGATAAATTTTGACAGTCAAGATCCTACAGAGAAATGAATGAAAAATAAGGTAGCCTTGATACGGAGGGTCAGTGAAAGAGGGGAAAATTTTAAAGAAATTGATTTACACCTTGACTATGACACTGGACTTAAGCATGGTAGAGATCATACAGAACAAGGATGTGATCTGTTCAAAGAATTACTGAGTCGTAGTTGACTCAAGGTACCTAACCACCAATCTAGATGGGATCCTAGAACAGGTATTTGATAAAATATATTTGAACTGGGAACATACTTGCAATGTATCAATATTCATGAACTACAACAAATTTGCGCTAACATGGTTCGAGGCCACCGGCTGCAATGCAGGAAATAGATGGGCAATCTTTTCCTGTGCAATTAACTGCCTCTGAAAACCAGCTGGATGGTCAGCTATGGGTAAGTTACAACTCAACAGTACACAACAGGAACATGTTAACAAAGGGAAACTTAGAGGGTATATGAGCATTCCATGCTATCTTCTCAAATGTTGTAGACCAAGGGTATAGTATATTATTACTAAGCCAGAAAATAAAAAAACGTATTGCGATGGGAAAGTCTGCTGTTAGGGACCTCTCTAAAGTACTCGAGCAGCGGTGTCTCTCTGGAGACTAAGGTGCGCCTGATACAGGCCATGGTTTTTGCAATCGCTTGTTATGCATCAGAGAGTTGGACAATGACTAGGGAGGATAGAAGGAGAATTGACGCCTTTGAGCTGTGGTGCTGGAGAAGAGTATTGAATGTACCATGAATGCCAAGAAAAACAGATTCATCCTCGAGAGGGTTAAACCAGGCTACTCCTTGGAGGCAAGGATTCTGAGGCTTCATCTGACGTACTGTGGACATGTTGTAAGGAGAGACAGGTCTTTAGAGAGGGACATCATGCTGCGTAGAGTAGAGGGACAGCACAGGAGGGGAAGACCCCTATGAGGTGGATTGATTCGGTGACTGGGGTAATCGGGATGGGTGTGTCAGAGGCAATGAGATTGGCACAGGATAGAGCACGGTTTAGGGCTGTTGTACATAGGGTCGCTATGACTCACAAATGACTCGACAGCACATAACATTAATAACAAACCAGAATACCAAGGATGTAGGAGAAAATGTAGAGGTAAAGTAGGAGGCAAACGGGTCTTAAACAATTGAAGCACTGATCCCAGCTTCCTTGTGCCTTTATTGAAAATAGCCAGGGAGCAAATCACAAAGAGAATTCTATGCACATGAATTTAAGATCTTTCAGTTAAAAACCTTTTGCTTGATTCAGGAGGGAGGGGTTAGCAAATACAAGAATCATATAAACCCTAAGGTTTGCCTCAGTGCCTACCCCTGTGAACATTTAAGGTTTTCCTTAGTGCTTCAAGGTGAATTCCAGCTTGTGTCCACCAATGCCTCCCTCATATCCTGATAGAGCATTTTGTTTACTATATTTAGTATGAAATTTGACTTCCTATCCTCAAAGAAATAAAAACGTAACATAGAAGTTACAAAGTTTTAAATTTTCATTAAGGTTTACAGTGACTTAGGGTTTCCAGTCATTCATTGTTGCACTTTTCTCCCTACTCACCCTCTCCCCCAATTCATTCTTCATGAAAGAACAGAATCTTTGTTATGCAATCCCTCCCACCAAGTCCACTCCACTATGCAGCTTTCACTCTGGACTTGTGTAATGAGAATACTCATATATCCCTTTTAAACAGTTCTCTGCCTCATCTGTCTCAATGCAATATACATCATTCCTCCCCTCCTTTTCTGTCTTCCCTCAATCCTGACGTCAGTCCCATTTTACAACAGTAGTCCTATGCAAATTATTTGTCCTTTTGTGACTGAGATACTTCACTCGGCATAAGGTCCTCCAGGATCATTCATTTGACATATTTCCGAGTTCCTTGTTTTCTATGCTGCATAGTATTCCATTGTGTGAATATACCACAGCCTCTCTATCCATTTGTTGATGGGCATCTGGGTTGTTTCCAGCTCTTTGCTATTGCCAACAAAGCCACAATAAACATGGGTGTGCATGTATCGTTTCTTTAGGGTAAATTCCCAGTAGTGAAATTGCTGGGTCAAATGGTATCTCTCTTTGCAACTTTCTGAGAAAGCGCCATAGCCTTCCATAGTGGTTGTACCATTTTACACTCCCACCAACAGTTTCTCTACAAATTTGCCAGCATTTGATGTTTGTTTTGCTAAATTTTGCTATTACTGTGGTGAGATGATATCTCAATTTTTTTTATTTGCATCTCTCTTAAACCAAGGGATTGTGAACATCTGAATGTCTTCTTTGGTGAAGTGTCTGTTCATATCCTGTGCCCATTTTTTAATTGGGTTATTCACCCTTACCTTGTTGTGGTAGAAGTTACAATTTTTTTTTAAGTTTTTTTTAAGTTTTTTAAGTTTCCACAGATACACACAGGATTACAAATATATAAAAAATCTAGTGGCAGGAAGGTGCACTGCAATCCCAGAGGTGCACGGTTTGAAACCACCAGATGCTCTGCTGGAGAAGGAGGTGCAATCTCCTCCTGTACCAGTCAGATCCAATTTGATGGTACATTCACATAAATTAAAAAAAAAAAAAAACACAACCAAATATATAAAAATCTAAAGGAATACTAAACCAATAGTTCTATGGTCATATCTGCTGTGTAAATTACTTTTATGGAAGATAAGTCATTGCTATAAAAAAAATCTTTTTGATACAATGGGAAAGTGTGAAAGCAATAACCATCTTAGACATCTCTTTATGACTAGTAAAGTTTAATTCCTTTTAATGACAAACCACATCCAAGGCCTTAACTTACAGACATAAACCAGAGTAGCCATTTAAAGCATTAAATATTAAGGTAACAAGACATACAAGAGAGGATCTAAGGAAATGCTTTGCCATCTGAAGCTTACAAGAAACCCTGCCTGACTCCACCGTAGAGCTCTACTAGTGCTTGGATATGGCTGAGGATATGAGCATTTCTGCAGAACTGAAAAACAGCTTTGTCTCACAAGTACAGAAGCATTTTAGACCACATTGGTAGGTACTTGTCTTCACGTTAAAGGAAAAAAGGGGAAAGGCAAGTTCCTCACAGCACATTAGGCTGCCTTGCACAGCGCAACGGCCGAGAAGCGGACCTCCCCCTGCTCACGCTCAGTGAATTCTCTGCAGACCTTGGCAGCATCCTGCAAAGGAGAAACATCGTTAATATCCCAACAGCAACAGCTCAAAATAAAACCTTCAAAGGCAAAGTACCTCTCGGGGCTTCTGGGTGCTCAAAATCTTACCTTGATCAATTCTAAAGTTTCCATTAAATCATCTCTAAATCTTAACTCAAATGGTTAAGTCCAGTGATTCTGCCTCTTCCTTCTCTTTGCTGTAAATACCTCCCACTCTCACTTCTCCAGATTGCGCTTTCAGCCCACACTGCTCTTACTCCCACACAACTCTTTCATATACAACATTAGCTCAAGCTGATTTCGGGTAGGGCCTGAGAGTAACTTATTGCTATGGAGTCAAAACGACTCACAGCTCATCTTCCTATGGGTATTTGAGGCAGTAAATCGCCCATCTTTTTCTCTCATTTGAACTGCCAGAGAGTGTGGCCTTTGGGTGGGCACCACAACTTCTTACAAACTATGCCAGCCGAACTCCCTAGTGGATGAGAGTAAACTAGCACAAGTGACCTTCCTTGAAGGACTTCAGTTTAGGACAGGGACACATATCACAGGATTTTTTTTTTTTCTTTTTCAGTAGCTTTGACTCCTTTGTTACTGCTGCCAAGTTATCTCTGGTTTCTCCCACCTTATGGCTGCTTTATCCAAAGTTATTCATTCTTTTCCTCAAATTAAGTGAGACAGAATACTAGTATCTCTTCCAGAAGGAGGAATGAGAAAAGTTCCAGAGAAGAAACAAATGTCTATCAAATATAAACCTGTCATATTAAAAGTTTAAAACAAAGCTTTGAACTGGTTCATCCCAGTCTGATCAGTTGCTGAGAATGCCCCACATACACTGAATCCGAATGTAGAGTTTAGCTAGATACACAGGTAATACCTGTAGCTCCTATCTATACATATGAATCACCTGGGGACTTCATTAAATTTTATTTCCAATTCAATACATCAAGGTATAAAGGCAGCTTCTCATCAGGGGGTCAATCAGAAGTGAATGGAGCCTTGATTTAAACTGAAGGCTTAGCATTTTAGGTGGAGATAACACGTTCTTAGGGATTATTGGAGAAATGACATGTGTTACTAATTCCAACAACGAGATTACTATAATGGATTCTGATGTTATTTACCACATTCTTGGGTTTAAATACTGTGGGATCATAAAAATTGCTTTCTTCTATTAATAAAAAATTTCAGTCGATAACAGTAGAAAGGCAACTCCACATCATAAACCATAGATTCAGGACCTTTAAGAAAGGAAACACTATGATACAGATGTGTAAGGAGTGTCAGTTACCAACACCTAGAAAAATTGCCAACTACTACTAGCTATGGATCTGAGACCTGGACAATGAGTAAGAATGACAGCAAAAGAAGTGATGCCTTTGAGCTATGATGTTGGAGAAGAACACTAACATCCCATGGATGGTGTAGAGAACGTATGTCTTGGAGAAGGTGCAGCTGGAGTGCTCTTCGGAGGCAAGAATGATGAGGCTTCACTGCACATACTTTGTGGTTATGTTGCTAGGAAGGACTATTACTTGGAAAGGGACATGATGCTTGGAAGGGTGCAAGGTCGGTGAAGTAGAGGAAGACCCTCAACCAGGTGGATTGGCACAGTGACTGCTGCAATGGGCTCTTGGGTGTCAGGAAATGTGAGGATGATACAGGATAGAAGAGGGTTCAGATCTTTTGTTCATAGGGTCACTAGGAGTCATGCTTGACTTGATGACTTGACAAGGAGAAGGTCCCATGGACTGCCAAAGCAAATCTGTCTTACAGGAAGTGCAACCAGGGTGGCTCTTTATAGGCAATGATGGTGAAGCACTCACATTCTTTAGACATGTCATGAGGGACCAGTCCTTGGAAAAAGATATCAAGACATCACATGCTGGGAAAGCTGGGGGGTGAGGGGAGAAAGGAAGACCTACAATGAAATGCATTGACAGTGACTACCACAATGAGCATGAGGATGATAAACCAAGGTTCAGGTCATGTGTTCACAAAATTGCTAACAAGCATTCATTTCTAACAGAAAAGGAGTCCGACTCGCACTGTAGTGTCTTCCAACTTTCTTTGGAACCACTTTGAAAAACTAAAAGGGACCTAGGCTGACATTTGATGCTATTCTTTTATCAGAATTTGGCATTTCATCCCAACTTTCCCTAAATCAAACTCTGCTATAGGATCTAGAGTGTTGAATGAGAGGAAGGATGAACTGTATTTTAGGGAACAGCCAACTCCTAATTGATCACTTCACTGAGTAAAAAAATCTAACCTATTCAACTTTGGCTATTGCTAGAGTAAATTATTTTCTCCTAAATATAAAATAGTAAATTTTTTTACATACAACATGATAGTTTGTATACCATATATAAAAATTTAGTACATAACTTATATAATCTAAATACAACTGAGGGTTGGTGTGTCAGAATCAGACTAACTCAGGACAGGGCAGAGTTCAGAGCTGCTGTACATAGCGTCACTATGGGTTGCAGGCAACTTGATGGCACATAACAATTCATCAAGGAGGCCTGGGTGCCTCGTGGTAACGAACTATGCTGAAGGTACATGATTTGATCCTACTAGCTGCTCCATTTGAGAACAGTGGGCAATCTCCTCCTGTGCAATTTACTGCTTCTGAACACCCACTGGAGGGTTAGCAATGGGTCAGTTTCAACTCGAAGGTACATAACAGCAACAAAGCATCTTTAAACACAAAGAAACAATCATACTAAAAACATAATCTTTAACTACTCAAGATACTAGTTTATTTTCATCTAGTTAAAGTCTAATTAGTTGTGGGGTTTTCTAGAAGACCCAAGCCTTACCTTTTCACACCTGAATTTCTACTCCAACAGTTTCAGTTGTCCCTCGTGAGCTAATGCAGTGGGTAAACACTTGGAAGCCCTGTGGGGGAGTTCTGTCCTACAGGGTCTCTGATCATTCAGTTAAGTGAAGTGCATTTTATACTGTGAGTATAGAATCAGTTACAAGTTGATACACACTTTGAAAGTTTAATTACAACACAATTCTGCTAGTTCCCGGTGTAATAGCAACTTGATTAAACTCTAGAGACTCATTTCTGGGATGAAAAGACCAACTGGTATCTAAAACGAAGTCCTGATGGTCTCTTGTACTAAGAGGGTTACACAGTGATGCCAGAAGGCACGTTTAGAATTGGCTACTGGAGTTGAAGTGGGCCATGTGGGAGGAAAGATCTTAAGCGCTGACCACAGTCCCTCGTACACTACCCAGCAGTCTTGGCAGAATCAGGAAAGGCTCAGGTTGCTGCTACGGTTTTCAGCTATCATGTAATCCACAGCAGGACAATGGTCACTTGAATCCCACAATGAAGTGTAGTACCGACTTCTAGCTAATCCTAACTGTGGGTTAAAGAAAGCACGCGACATGGATTAGTCAAGGCTACTCTGAAGGATCCTGTGTTTGTTTAAAATGATGGCTATAAAACTAGATGGAGAGCACTACCAATGATCAGAAGTTCTAAAGATTGCCACAAAACTGGACCATTGGTGCAGGTCATAGGAGAAAGCCAGAACTTTAGAAGAGACAATGAGACTAAAGAAATGTGGTCTCTAGAGGACAGATGAATTTCCGAGATTACCTGCAGCAGGGAGTCCTCTGAACTGGTGCCATGGTTCAAGGGGAAAGGCATTCGTCCATCTAGAACAAAGAAGCCACGTCAATTTTCTCTGTACACTGTCAGACTCCTGTGCTTGTCCAGCTCAGAGGGGTGTTTTAGACTTTTCTGAGTTTCACTGCCACTCCACAAAGCTAAGACCAGATGTGATACGCCTGTGATCCTGTGTGTCCTTCCAATCACAATCCATAAACTGAGCAAGCCCCATTCAACTACCCCAGTACGGGGCATGTGCCTCATCTCTATGTAAGGACTGCAGGGCATAAGTCAAATACTCTGTGGTAAGGACACTGCTGCTGTTAGGGCCGACTCACACCGCCCCTATGAATGACCAATCTGAGTCATGGCCTGGCCTTTGTCATCCTCATGTCTGGATAGTGGAGGCAAAAAAGGCATCCATGAGACTTCCATTGCCCCTCAGTAACTGCTGACTGGCCCCAAGTCTCCATTGTCTTTGCTGGCCCATGGACAGTCACTTCGCCATCTCCTATTAACTGGAGGCAACACAGTTTCAAGTTTTCCCCATTAATACAAAAGGCATGAAGCTTCCCAAATGGCTAACCGCTCTTGTTGTCCTGAGCCAGTTAGCAGAAAAATTACCCATCACCCTCCGGTCCTGTTACACAAACAAGGTCATAACCTAGCATCAATCTTTTTCTACAAGTGTCTAAAAAGGATGGTGCTAGAGACTGGTCATCAGCAGTGATGGAAAAGCTGGATGCTACAAGTTCAATACGAAACGCCAGATGACGAGGTGTGAAGACGCTATGCACTGAACAGGTGCCCACCCACTCTATTGATTTGTGACTATAAAGGCATTCCTTTCAAAGCCAGCTGCCTGTAGAGGATGCTCTAGGCAGAATAAAGGACTTCCCACTGCCATAAGCTATTTTTACACCAAATAGTAGCTTAGCTAATCAGAAGAGAATGTCTGCATTTAGTAATATAGGCTGTTTTTATATTTTTTATTTTATTATTACTTTTTTGTGTGTACCGTCAAATCAGATCTGACTGGTAGAGGAGGAGGATTGTTCCTCCTTCTCCAGCACAGCATCTGGTGGATCTGAACTGCGCAACTCTGGGATTGCAGTGCAGCTTCTTGCCACCAGGCCACCAGAGCTCGCTGTAATATAGGCTCTTAAAGGACTTGATTATGTGATTAAATTGACAATAGCAACCGGAAGGGCAGGAAAGAATGGGAGCGAGTTTGTGTTAATGATGGTGAAAGTCTGAAAGGCTGACAAAGGTGACACAACCTGAAGAATGTCACTAGCATCCCTGACCTATTTACAGAGATTGTTGAAATGGTATATGCTGTGTTGTGTGCATTTTCACCAAGAATTAAAACATCAACACGAACTAAAGGACATAAAGTCACTGTAACAATGAACAGAACAAACTTGTCAGGTGCTAGGGAAAAAAAAAAAGTGAAACATACCGAGTTCGTAGAGATGGCCATCCACGTTGTTAAACAGAATAAAATGAAAGTTCACTTTGTCGTCTACCTGAAGAGTAAGAATTTGCCTTTTAAAATATCACTATTTGTCATTATTCAAATGCAGAATGCTTGAGCAAACCTGTTTATATTCCAGTTAAAATTATAGGTAATACTGATAGAGTCCCCCCATACTAGGGCCTCTTTGAAGCTTGTCAGGGCAGGGGACAGTGCAACTGTGGGAGGAACTATGAGTGGGTTACTGGTACATTCCACTGAGGGGGAATCAAGGTCTGAGAGACTAAGTATCTCCCCCATGGTCAAGGCTGGAAAGTTGCTACTTAATTTGTACTTCAAAGAGATAGGTACTCCGATGTTCACTGAAAGGTGGGTAGTTCAGATCCACCCAATGGCTCTGCAGGACCTGGCAATCTGCTTCTATGAATATTACAGCTGAAACCGATACAGGGCAGTTCTATCACATGGGGTCACTATTAGAGTTGGCTCAGTTGTACACAAAAACACTGAAAAGTAATTCAGCAATTAACTTAAGAGATTCTGTTAACAGCACCATTAAGTTTTCTAAAACCTGTCAGTTCTTGTTCATATTCTCTTACTCTATCCTGGAACAGAGGGTGAGAAGATTATTTGAAACTTTCAACACTAGGGGAGCTGACCCAGTAAAGGTTACGGTCTTTGAGTCGCAACTGACATAGCCGATCCTCCAGTGGGTTTTCGAAGGCCTATGTAGAGGAGACTGCCCATATTTCTCCTTCGGAGCTGCTGGTGGATTTATATCCCCAGAGAAGTACCATCTTTGTGATGGGAGTCACCCTATCAGAGTTACCTGAGGGGAAAAAACCTATCCTTTGAACTGGCTAAAGACCATCTAGATTTCTACTGCCATCTAGATTTCTGAAGAGCCATTTTCAAAGTATTTTCTGTGTAGGATTTCCTGGTGTTACCTAGACTTGGGTGATTAACACTGGCTGCTTTCCTACAAAAGGTTCATGCACATACTTCTGAAGAAGCATAGGTGGCAGACGGCCTGCCCAGCTCTGACGTGCCTGCACTCACCCGACACTGGCCTTCCTGTGCCACAGCGTCGTGAGCTGCCTGGATGGCCTGCATGGGAAAAAACCACAACCAATCAGCACAGAGATACCCCAGATCACTAAAAAGCGA